CCCCTAATATGTATTAAAGAGATTATTATAATACAGAATCAAGATACCAAGTCACAAAATGTACATTAAGTGACCTAATTTAGACTTCAGCTTGTTCAATGACAATAAATATATTTTCAATGTTGAACATTGTTACATCAATGAGATATGTAATGGAAAAAGCAAACCTCTTTTCTTCTTCAGGTGCTTTGGCCAAAAGTAAATTTCAGGAAAACATTAGAACTAAATATGAAAAATAAAGCATGCATCTTCTTTGTGATTTGTAGTAGAAAAGATTATGAAACCAAGCCACAAAATGTCATCCACATAATTAAAGTTTGAAGTAAATAAAAATTTAATATTTTAGTGAAAAATGATAAAATATGAAAACATCAGGCACAAAGGAGATGATATTCACTATATGCATATATAACAAGGTATGTAAATCATCCCTTCAAAATTAGCAAGAAAAAGAAAAAGGCAGAGAGGAACAAATGTACCAGCAAACAGGCAAATGGGTGTTGACATTCTAGTTACAAGGAGAGTAAATACAGATTGAATCTCTCATGGTATTAGTATACATACCAGCATGTATAGGTAATGAACAAGCCTAAAACTATCAGATACTTTAAGGGGTAAGAAGCTTGAGCAGCTATGAGCTACTAATAGGACTGTAAATGAATGGTTCTGAACCATCCTAATGCTGGGATTCTTTAATAAAGTTCCTCATGTTACTTTTTTTCCGTAAGTGTGAACACTGGTGGGTCCCCTATGCCAGTGGATGACTTCACACTCACATACTGGACTCATTGGGTTAAAAATAAATAAATATAGAGGACAAGAGGTTGAGAGGGAGATGAGATGGGGATCCTGAGAGAATCAGAGGGGGTATGGGAGGTGTTATGTCAAGAAACATTGCACACTGGTATGAAAAGTTTAAAGAATAATTAAAGTAAATGCATTCCTTTTATATTTTAGAGTGGCCACTATTTGATGACAGTAGTTTATGCCAGCTGATGACAGGCTGCTAATTGTCATCTATGGCTCAGCAGTTAAGAACACTTGCTGCTGAATCATGAGGACCAGAGATTTTATTCCAGCACCCAAATCAGGCACGCACACCCGTGTACAGACACTCACATGGACACATACATGTACATAAATTATTCTTACTTTATATTACCAATCATAACGCATTGTGATGGGATTCTGTGTGATTCTCTTTATAAACTTGATGCTATTGCTATGATATGATCACATTAATGAGAATATGCTTGAAGAGTGAATATTGCACTGAGCTGATGATACATTAACCGGCTTGAGTATGGTGGTCACTTCACAACACATAAGCATATGTAAATACACACTTCTGTCCATCATGTCATATGGTTGAAATAATATGAGAAAATGTCTCATAAAGACATAAAAATGTCAAATGACAATTTTTATCTTGTGCTGTATTTCTCTCACAGCATTTTCACAAAAGATATCATAGACATTTGAAAATATAAACAACGGTCCATGTGAATTAAGTTAAAATATTAATGTGGCTTCTTTAATTTTGTCGATGCCTTTATGATTATAAAAAAACATTACCTTCATTGAGACAAGACAATCCCTGCCCAGTGCCACAACCTAATCAGGGAGTAAACGCAAGGCAACCACTAGTCTGGTACTGTAGGGCCTGTGCAGCAAGCTAGTCTGTAGATGACCCAGACCTAGTGCCAGGGGGCCATGTGGGGAACAAGCCTAAGTCAACTACCAGTCCAGCACCATGCAGGCACTGGTAGGCAGATAATGCCAGGGACAAACTTTGCCCAGTGCCACAGTACACGGGTGGGACATAGCACTCCTGAGATCACACTTGAGACAACCCCAGACACCTAGACATCCCAGGGCACCACTAAGATGAGCAAGTAAGTGGTGGAGAAATGGAAGAGAAAGAGAAAGGAAGGGTGTTTGCACAATGAAGAGAGGCAAAACTGGAGAGTCAAGGGTAGTGAGGAATAGCCTGATGTGAGTAGACAGTGATTCCCAACTATGTCTGTGATGAGGTCCCAGCCTGTGCCATGTCTAGGTCTGTGGCCTTACAGCAGCAGGAGGTGGGAGGGATGGTTGATACCACAAAAAGCCAAATGGGCGTCATCCGTCTGGGCTTCTTCCTGGGGTACTTTTGATGTCTGAGTGCTGTGCAGAACTGCACGAAACCCTTACCTGGGCATCCTGGGAGAACTGGCCCTGAGGGCATGCATGTGGGAGAGCTGGCCCCACCAATTACCAGCTGCTGTCTTCAGGAGAGCAGGCCCCATACCTCATCTGGGCAGCACAGTAGAGCTAATTGTGGTGGTGGGCTAGGAAAGACCCAGCCCTGAAGGCAAGGGTGTGAGAGAGCTGGCCCCTGTCACTTGTCTTCTATTTAAGACGTTGGCAAGGGAGAGATGCCCACTCCCCTTACCCCTTGCAGCCTATGGGAGGCAGGAGAGCTAGCCCCAAGGTCATCAGATCAGGTCTGCCCTTGCTCCTCATCTGCTGCAGCAATTGTGAGAGCGGGCCCTGTACCTTACCTGGGCAGCACAGTAGAGTTGGCCCCAATGCATGAAAGTTAAAACGCTGACTTTGACACTTGACTATTTGCATTTATTGTATTGCTAGTTCCTCAACCTAGAACTGACCTTAATACTTACATATAATTAACATGGTATAAAAGCAAAAATGAGGAGGGGGGATGGGATAGGGGATTCCTAGGGAGGGGAAATGGGGAAAGAGGATGGCATGTGAAATGTAAATAAATAAAATATCCAATAAAAAAGAGAAAACATTAAGAACATATGACACACACACACACACACCACTCCCCACCCCCAAAAAGCTGGCTCTGCCCCTTGCTGGCTACATTATTGTATGGACAAGGCAGGGCCAGAGAGCTTATCCTGGTGGTATGGTGCAGGAGGGTGTGGGTGAACTGACCAGCTCAGATACCTCCCATGCTCAGGGCCAGGGCTTTGAGTTGGCCCACCCCAACATCTAACTTATTGATGAACTGGTGGAGCACGTAAAGGAGCCGGTCCTGCAGATCTAAAGCTATAGGATCTCTATGACACAGGGCAACAACAGGATGTCTGAAAGGAATCCCAGTGAAATATCGATAGTGTAGCAGAAGCCAGAGGCCTAGAACCAGACCAACGACTTATTGCAATGAACATTTGCAAGCAAAGAAATATGGACAAAAAGGTATACTATGGGACACACTTTGACACACTACAGCCTCCACAATGAGTTTTATTTTTCTTTTAGAGGGGAGGTTGGAGTGGCAGAGGACAGGTGTGAGAGGATGGGGAGATGAGTGGGATTGAGGTACATGATACGAATTTCACAAAGAGCCAATACCAAGTTTAATAATTGGCTTCATTTTTGAAAATACAGAGTGAAGTATTTGTTTTAGATAGCTCAGAAAAATAGTATACTTGTGTACATGCACACAAATGCAAACACACACACACACACACACACACACACACACACACACACACCAGCATATGGAAAGAAGATAACTCATAACTTGGGCATAATAAAAATACTTGATAGATCTCTGTAAACAGTATACACAATTTCTATTTTTGTTTTGCTCATTCATTTGTTTGAGACAGAGTCTCTTTGTGTAGCCTTGGCTGAACTAGAACTTGCTGGATAGATCAAGCTGGGCTTGAATTTACAGAGACACAACTGCCTCTACCTGCCTAGTGCTGGTGTTACAGGCAAACACCACCATGTCCAGCAAACTATTTCTTATTCTAGTCTTGAAACATTGCTGTAATCCTGAAATTACATCATAATAAAAACAAAATTTTATTATAGCTATATAGCATAAGGTAAATTATTTTAAATATCATTTTAAAATAAAATTTTTTTTCAGGATTGTTAGCCTCTATAATTGTGTTTTCTTCATTCCATGGTAAATAAGCATTTTCTAATTATTTTAGTATTTTAAGGAAAGACCCTAGATCTAAACATAGATGCATGTGCAGGGGGACAGAATACTGTTCTGTGTGTGTGTGTGTGGGAGATAAGGCAGTTTCCCTTCTCCCAGCCCTCTCTTACACATGCAAGTACACGGATCCACAGGCACACACACAAGAGAAAAGCAACCATGTAGCTTAACAAAATAGCACATATTACGTACTAATAGTAACAGAAATTTTTATTATTTTCTTTGTCTCAATGGGAAGGTAAGTGAAAAAGGAGTCACTGGATAGACATATGTTCTGTAGTAGCGGACCATCTGAGAAGTGTCACGAGACATCCTATTGGAAATGATGTTGAGGGAAGTGGAAGAAGCGAGCATCTAAAATAAATTAAAATCTCTTTTCTTTTTCATTGCCATTGTTTCAGTCTGCCTAAGTGTCCCAAGAAAGGGAAGCTTGACTCATAGTACATGAAAGTCAACTCTCTATATAGTGAGCTTCATAGAAGGACAGAGAGAAAAATCTAGAGAAGCAAGTGGACAGCAACTCTATATAAGTGGATTTACTTGTTCATGCTGGGTCACCCGCTCATGAACCACCTAGTACTCTCTCACAGCCTATTCAGGCTTTGCCCATTATGTTTTCTATGTCTGTCTCTGCAGCATATATTACTAAGGTGATGCTAATTAGGCAGGCTGACTTTGTTCCTAACATACAGCTAAGAAAGTGCAAGCATGTCCTATAAGTCACACACTTGTTAATATATTGGTTTTTTATTTTAAGTTATACATATACATCACTAGTTCTTTTTGTAACACTCTTTGGCTGGTCTAGTGGCCAGTCTTTCCATATTCTTGAATATAGTTATTTAGCTTTTGTTAATTTTGGAATGAATATGAAAGAATTTTTAAAATTTTTCATGATCATTTATGTAAAATACAATCATGGAAAGGGACTCTTTGAAGGCACTTCCATTATCCGCCATCATATCTAGAATGCTACCATATGTTTAGGAGATGCTGAAGTTCATGTACAACATGCATCCTGAGGAAGAGATTTTTATTTCTCTTGTAAGCTCCGACAAAGCATCTTTTGAAAGCCCAGCCTGAGTTCTCTGGTCCTAAGTGCATACACAATAGGGTTGAGCGAAGGAGGGATGATATTGTGCATCACATTGAGCAAAACTGGGATCAAGGTGGCCTTGGTCTCTGCCAAGTGAGTTACTGAAATCACTACAACAACAGTGTAGAAGAAGAGGATGAGGGTGAGGTGGGAGCTACAAGTGTTCAGAGCTAGAAACAGCTTCAGCTGAATTGAGTCTGAGTACAGAGCGCAGAATCAAAGCATATGACAATATTATGAGACCCAGGTCACTCCCCATTCCAACCCATGCCAGGATTAACTGGCAAATGCTATTTGGCTTCCTGTCATCACAAGCCAGGCTTGTGACTCCAAGGTTAGAGCACAAGCAATGCTCAATTTCATTCCTTGAACAATAATTCCGCTGGGCGGCAAGAACAGGCACTGGAATGACACCCAAGCCATTTCTTCGCACCATAAACAGTGTGGCTTTTAAGATCAAGGAATTGGTAATAATTGATGAATAGCGGAGAGGATAGCAAATAGCTATATATCTATCAAAAGCCATGCAGAGGAAGATACCAGACTCCATGCCTACAAAGCAGTGAATGGCATAAATCTGAACAAAACACTCAGGAAGGCTAATGACCTTGGCGTCAAACCAGAAGATGGCCAGGATCTTAGGCATGATGGTGGTGGCGAGGCCCATGTCCACCACGGAGAGGATTCCCAAGAAAAGATACATGGGCTGCTTCAGGGAAGGGTCCTGATAGACGATGATGAGAATGAGCACGTTTGTCCCTATCGCTGAGAGATAGAGCAAGGCCAGTGGTAGGGAGAGCCAGTGCTGCCAGCTGTGGATGCCTGGGAATCCCAGCAGGATGAACTCAGACACCTGGAACTTGGAACTATTGAAGTCTTTGAGAGATGCAGACATTTTCCTGTGAGGAAAAGAAAAGATCGGGTCTTTAACATTTTTTTTTTTGAGCATAAGCATCATTACATGGTATTTATCTTTTATATTAAAGGTTTCTTTCTATTTAGTAAATAGGCATTTAAGAATTTCACTTACTTTATAAAACCACATCTTTATTCAAAAAGCAAAAATTATTATTGAATTAATTATTATTATTAAAGATGGCCTTGATCTCTGCTAAGTGAGTTACTGAAATCTCTACAACAACAGTGTAGAAGAGGATGAGGGTGAGGTGGGAGCTACAAGTGTTCAGAGCCTTAGAAACAGCTTCAGCTGAATTGAGTCTGAGTACAGAGCGCAGAATCAAAGCATATGACAATATTATGAGACCCAGGTCACTCTCCATTCCAACCCATGCCAGTAACATTTTAATCAAAGTCCAATTCAAGTTTCAATACTCTCTTGGGAGGGTGACTGGGAGGTACTGTGACCTTGCGGTCAAATCATGATGAACAACAGAATGAATTCCTATGAGCACAACTCCGATTGTCCTGATTTTAGCAATGCAATGGTGGCAGACTGGGTAAAGGAATGCTTTTTTTTTGTTAGAACACCTCATGATCCCAAATGTTGTCTTAGTAGAATTTAGCCCTGCTTGTGAATACCCAAGAATTACTTTCCAGAGGGTTTTTAGGGTAAGAGCTGTCATCCTGGAAGTCTTACTAGTGTTTGAAGTTGATCTCTCATTATCTGTCCATGACTTAAAAGCTGTTTTTTGTTTTTCCGATGAAAAATTTCATAACTCCTGGTAAAGTGGAAGATGCAGGGTGACAAACAGCTTTGCCATTTGGTGACAAAGGGAGATTTCATTTGTATGTTGCAGTGAAATTTATCAAATGCAATTTCCTGCTTTTTCCCAAGGTCTTCAGCAAATCCTACTGGGGTGCAGGCTTTCTTGGTTGCAATTGAAGTTCTTAGTCTTCTCAGTATTTTGGTTCATTCTTGAATCACTGATATAAATGAGAATCTCTGCCTTTAGTTCCCAGTGTGCACACTGCATATTAGCATGTGGCAAGCTTGATTTTGGAAGACCTCTGTTCTATGTAGCCTAGAATCAGGCTGTCTTGGATGTACTAGTGCAAGATGTTATCTGCATTCTGAACCATGAAAAAGCCCATAAAAGAGAGGCAAAGACATCACTTGCAGTGGATTTGGGAAATGGGTATGTTGTTTCACATTTTGCTTTGTCACTGTATATGAAGACATCAAGATGTAGCTTTAGGTTGAAGAGAACACTTTCTTAAAGAAATAAGAGCTTGGCGGTGGGGAGCTTGTACAGTGGTACAAGAAGCAATGAATAACGCCCATCATACCTACCAAGATATTTCACTGGTAGAGATTTTTTGCAGAACAATGTGGATAAAATAAACAAAAACAACTCTTGAGTCTTTGAAATGATTGAATGAACAGCTACAATCTAAAGAAGTAGAACTTGTCCAGCTAAGAACAAAGGTAGAGACTTGACAAGTGATTGAAAACTTGGATCCACCTTCATCAAACCAGGAGGTAGAAAAGGTGAGCCATGATTTGAAGACCCATGATTTGGAGCAAGAGATGGAACTGATGAGGACAGAAGGAAAATGATCTCAGAATAAGGCCACAAAAAGCCAAACAATACGTCCATCTCAGAAGGACAAGCTCTACAACTGGAATCTTTCAATGGTGTTTTAAAGCCATCATCAGGAGGCACAGCTCAGAGCTATGAAATAATGGATGTTATAGATAGTCTTACTGCACTGCTTTATGTTAATAAAGCACCAGGGAGTTTAAAAGGATTATCAATTGAAGTAAACTTATGGGTCACATTTATATTGGTTGAGGTTGTGAATCAATAGTAGAAAGCTTTGCCAACATATGTGTCTCAAGGTGTGACTCTTGCCACTTCCAAAAAAAGTATTATAGTGAACAATTTGACTCACCAGGGAAATTGAAGAATAAATAGGAAATCTCTTTTTGCAAGATTCTTAGTTATTCCAGGTAGTATTATTACACAAATACAACAAGAGTTTATCTAAGCATTTCTTCACCTTTTCAGAAACAGAATTGAGTGAGTGCTTTGTTTAAATTGTATCTTTCTTATCATTGCTTGACTTAGTATTTATTCACTGATAACAACCACTAGAATTTTAGTCTGTAATTATGGAATACTTAATTTTGTAAATAATGCATGAAAATATTCATGTATTATATATTACATATATAATATATATCCATTCATATCTTATACATCCTTTTATCAATAGTATTATCATAAATATATAAAGGTTTAAGAAATAAACTATTCTGAAGTTTAGGGGATGAATATGTTTTATTTTATAGTATACTTTGTATGCAAACACACTTGAAGAGACTGCAAAAGAATTAAACAATGCTAAATGACCATAGCTACATTTTTAATCTTAACTATCTATCTAGTGATCTTATAAATTTTAGTTACCTGAGTCTTGGTGGATCTATAAAGACAGAATTTAGGCACATATAATGATGTTTTTATTGTATCAGACACACTTAATATGAGATATACCCTCAGATCCTCAAGTACACAGTGCATATTATGTACATTGTTCTACACATATTTCAAAGGCTTTTCCAATAAAATGGAATATTCATAACTAGGGAACAAAAATCATACCCTACCTCATGGGCAAGCCACATCTATCATTCTGAAGAAGCTATGGAAGATGCTCAGAATCTTGGTAAAATTAGACTCATACACCTTCAAATTCTACTGTTTGTCATGTCCTTTGTTTAGTTAATTGTTAAATATAGATTTATTCATGATACAGTAATTTTAAACACAGAATAAAGAAATTGAAGAAAATAATTTCCCTATGGTATTACCATTAAGAAACAATTATCTGTTGTAAATTTTGTACTTATTTGTGTGTATATTTATGAGTGGTTGGGGCACACAACTGACACTGTTCATGTGTGGAGGTTAGAATACAGCCTTCAGGAGTCAATCCTTCTACTTTTTGGGTTCTGGAGATCAACTTTGAGTTATCAGGCTACTTGCCAGCATCTCTACCTATTGATGCATCTCATTAGCTCCAAGAAGCAATTATTAAAAGATAATTTTTCTTGAGATATTTCTCAAAGCTTCCATATTTCAATAAATATATAGTCTCTAGTGACTATTTATGACAAATCTAACATGACCAGAGTAATCCCAATGTAAACACACATGATTTAATGAATGAAAAATGCAAAGAAGCTTAGAGATAGGTTAATTTTACTGAGATCTTAGATGAGGCTTTCAAAGAAGCTCAGCATAGTATCCACACATCTTGAGAGTTTGAAACTGTAAGACAACATGTTTACACAAGTCCTAGCATTTCTCTAAGACCTTCATTCACTTCTTCCACCTCAGATTAGACAGCCTATCTTATTTGACAGATTCTCATTTTATTTCTTTTTAAAGATATACATTTTATTTACTTACTTATCTTTATATGTGGTATTTTAATTTTTAATATATATGCAACGATTAAATCAAGTTGATTAATGTTTCCTTCATCCAAAATATTTTATGCATGTTTTTATTGATATGTATTCTGTTAGTAATATTGAAATGTACAGATCTTAATGTACAACTCTATTCAGGATTCTATGCAATTGACCTAAAAATACAAGACTATCCCCACTGCCAACCTAAGAGCATTTTCCCTGTCCACTATCCTGCCTCCTTCTAGTGCAGATTATGATAACTGCCATCCTCTCTCTTCTTCCCTGAACAAAATTATTTTGTACTATACCTGAGAGATATCATTTGGTATCGTCTTTGGATGTAGGGATTATTTCATTTAACGTAATGATCTCCTATTGTACTTGTGTTGTCACAAACTCCAGAACTTCTACCTTTTAAAGGCTGAATAATTTTGTTTTCATCATTTTCATTTAAAATGTTTCCCTAGTTGATATTTCTGTTATTCAATTAAGACTAGAAGTTAGTTTGAACTCATAGAAAAAAGCATTTTTAACTTTTTAACAATTAAATTCTAAATAACATAAAATGTGTTTCTTCCATCAAAATTGCTTGATAATGTAAATATTGAAAATAACATGAAGGTTGAGATTTTTCTGAAAATAACTTCTGCTGTTCCACACCAGCCTGGTATTTTCTAAATTTGCCCTTAGACCTTTTCTCATAAGCTTTATAAACCTCTGTCTCCTACTATGGTAGCAAGGAGTATTGCTTGTTTCTTGCCAGAAGTTGTAGAACAACATTAAATTTGGAACAAAGCACCATATGCTGTAAGATCTAACCAATAAGATTGAACAAAGTGTGATAACTCACTGTCATTATGAGCAGAACTTCACAGCCTGGAGTCTTGGCAACAGAAGAAAATTTTCACTGGGAAACACAGCATTTTGATATATATATTTTACATGAGGTGAGGATGTATTCTCGTCTGAGTGTGGGACAGAAATCATGGAATCACAGACTTATAGAATTTATGGGAATTATTACCACCTCAAGAACCTAAGGATAATAGGTCTCCATTAGAGGCATGAGGGAGAATGGCCAGTAGAGAAAGCTGAATTCCTATGGTGTTAAATCCCTAAAGTATAGCAAGGAGATTAATTCAGAGATGTGTTTTCTATTAATATAACCTGACAGCTTTCATAAATTGGAATGACATTTTTCTTCAGGGGATTGAAATGATCCTATAGTAGATAGAAACTTTGTTATTATTCTTAAGCATAAAAATTTAAAGGACTATAAAATATGTGATTAGAAAGCTTCTTTAAATAGAAGCTTCTTTTCTTTAAAAGAAAGTATTCATTCATTCAAAAACAAAGTTTCTAGTGTGTTTGCAAAACATGATGTGTATAAAGTGATCACTAAATACATGAATCTCATTCTTCTAATTTTCTTTAAGTGAGGGCAAGAGAACATAACATTAAATGTAAAAGAAATAAAATACAGAAATGTCAAGACTTGTATAAATTTCTTAATG